CGTCCCATCTGAAGGACACGTTAAAAAAAAAACGAACTCAATATTCACTTTCACTAAGCTACACTTCCCATATATAAAACACGTACAAAGTTGAGGAAATCGGGGTTGGGAGGGGGACATTTATTGTTAAACAATATCTCGCTGAAAAGTTTGTTGGTACATGATGCCGCATTTAACCTAAATAGCGTCCGCCCGCCGCTTTGTTCTGCCGAACCGAACGTCATCCAACGTGCTACATAAACGCCACCTAACGTCCATCTACTACCTATTGCGCTACAATCGCCGATCAGTGAGACACACCTGACGCCAATCACTATTAAACAACATACGATGACTCACAAATAATAAACGCTACAAACTTTGTAGAATCACACACTAAAACGGTCAGAATCATACGAGAATCTCGCATACGCAGCTCTTACTGCTAATTATGTAACAATGATCTTTACAAACACTATATAGACACATTTTTATTGCACACGTGTGATGTCACAAAAGGCAGTGTTCGATTAATATGTAATGTTTTCTCTCTATAAAATGTAAATAGTTTAATTAAGTATCAAAAATAACTCCCGACATCTATTACTTTATAAAGATTTGACAAATACAATATATCTTACACGCCCGGCCGCAATTGCATTGAATCTGAAATTTCACCGTATCGAATACACGTGAAGAAGTGGAAGATTTTTATATTTATCTATGAAAAAGACGTGGTGATATATAAATCGAGAAATATGTTAATAATATTTATATTACTTTAGGAAAATTGAAAGGACACTACGCTATTTGTACGACACAACGATTGGCACGAGAACGACGACGTATTGCAAGCTACTAAGGCCGTTTGTTTTATAATTATCTCGAGTGATTCCGAAGCAAAAATGAATTCTAAAACCTGAAAGAAAACATTTTTTCCTCGTCATCTCAAAAACAATGCTGTCTCACTGATCCAATAACACAATATAAGAGAGCCACAATTGTGCTAATGTAAACGTTTTAATTAATTCCATTTTCTCACTGTATTATCTATATGGAACCTGATATTGTTAAAACAATAGCATCTGAATAAATCACTGACTATAGAGGTTTTTCTGATGATAGTTACAATAAATGTGTCAAAGAGATTTGTTGAAACGGCATTGAGACGCCTTAATTGCTACGGTCCTATTTAGCTTCCGCTAGGCGGTAGTGTGATTGTAGATCATACGTCAAACAAATTGGCGCCATTTTGAAAAAAGTCAATATATTTATAAACCGCGTAATTTTGATGGAAAATATGGTTGTTGAACTGTCAAACAATTGAGAAATAGATCTGTGAAAGCAGATGAGGAAAAGGTAGACTTTGATATTTATTAGATTATTATCTTAGATGTAGACTCTTTTTTTTCAATCTATCTAAGCGTCGACGAATATTAACTGTGATTAATTTTTTTTTATAACAACTTAATCAAATGACATTTGACATGACCGCCAACGTAACTAGCGCCATCTGCTTTTATCTTTGGGGATTAGTGGGCATGTTACGTTAATATTAGCATAATTGACACCCAATGCAATCGATTACATACAGTTCTGACTCGATCGCAACATTCACAACTCGCATGGTATTATCAAAACAAAATTATATATCACCTAAAAATATACAGTGGAGGAAATTTAAACACTAATTGGTAAATGGACGTTTGACATACTCTCATCATCACACACACAAGATGTAACATTCCAAATTTATTAAGCAATTTGTAGATTTTTTCTAACTGATGAATAAGAAAATGGTGATTTTAGGGAGCTCATCATACTCAAACCACAAGTGATGGATTGTTTCGTTTGTCGATAGATGGCGCTAGACGCTATATTAATAATTTCACATAATAACAAAGATGTGTATCATTTTATAAATAATACGTATCGAGCTAAGGATTAAATGTAATTAAGTTTGCTTTTCCGTAATGAAGATAATTTGATAACTTAATTAAAATTAATATTGTGCTTAAATTATACAAACACAACTACGCAACTATCGCCATCTATTGACTGTGTCTGTCAACACGGATCCGTGACGTTCCGTATTACGCAGCACCGATTACATTTCACATTCATCGTTCGACAAAAACCAGATTATATACTAAACTGATTCCTCAACTATACAATAAATTGAGTTGGATAAACTAAGCGTAAATTCTGTCGACAAATTAGAATGAAAAAATATTTATATCTTCCGACATATTTCTTTTTTTATAATTCATCAAATTTATTGACACAATAAGCGTAAGTCCAAATATACTTTCCCTTTCAATTATCATTATTAATCACATTAATTTGTTGAATCAAATAGTCAAAACATTTAAAACAGATTCACTTTTAATACTATGAAATGTGAATGGAAATTAATGATTGCACATACATACACCACACTCTAAATCTAAACATTTACAATGTACCACTCAAACGTACATTCGTTAACTTGGAGCGAACCTGATTCAACTTAAACCTACGTATCATCATTCATTATTATCTAAAGAATCATGCCATTAAACCGTTTCCTCTCACTGGAAATGTTAATTGTGGTTAAATTTAAATGGAGAAAACAGTTGTTTGAAACTATTAGCGTCACTAAAGACTAACAGTTGAGCAAAATAATGAGTCGAAATGACATCCTAATTATCAACAATAGAAACATCTAACATCCAGTGAAGAGACAACGACGTTCGGTACACACACACGGCATTAAACCTTTCACACCACCGCATTTTGCCCCAATTCACGCATGCGATAAGGTTTAGTTTTGAATGTCAACTAACAGAACTTGCTCGCTCCTAAACCAAGAGAAACTATGTCAATTGACTGAAATTTACACACCTTATTACTGTGGAGATAAGTCGCTTTTGTAATTGTTCAAAATAAGTTACTATAGAATTACCAGCTAATAGTCAGATCTAGTAAGTTGAAGTATAGTTCGTGTTACAATAGGTATTGTTTTAAATCAACTTATGTTCGAGACTTGCAATTAATTTAGTGATTTATGAAGAAAACTGTTAATTGAAAGTATTACATTACACAAACGAAATTAATACAAATGGACAATACAGTATCCTTTTTGACGAATTTACGTTGACAAAATGCTTTGAAACCTTAGAAAATTTAATTATTTTTAAGATACAATTTAACTAATTACAAAAATATAGTCAACAGTGGTATTGGCTATTTGACAGTTGAGGTTGAAATATTATTCGATAACAAATTTATTATCTATATTCATAAAATAATCGTCCTGTGTGAAGATTGAAAACCGAAATGCGGCTAGATTGATTGAGTACATACAGTCAGACATGACATTTCGTAACAGTCACAAACGCAAATTAAAGTTTATTTTATAGATTCGTAGCCAATTCTATACATTAGCACAAATGTCTGCTGTTTTGGTTCAACATTCTAAAGTCACAACACAAAAAATAAATAACGCTAATTGGTGTACAGCGAGTGATAATATTACTGTATATTAACAATTACGCATTTCGAAAACTATCAAGTAGCCAATAATTGCAACTGCGTTACTAATGTTTATTAACATATAATTTACGATTTCAAGGCGCAGGCATCCTGTTTGGTAATGTCATTTGTTCATACTCCATTGGTTATTGCAATAATGTCTATCTATACAGGGTTATTTGTAAAACATTATCTACTAGCAACCTCGCAGAACTAAACAGCTGACATCATAAACAATATCATAAACTCACATTACGAACTTTTTTAATTATGACGGTGGTTGTCTAATCCTGCGACATTGTTAGTGTTTCGAAATAACCCTGTATGAATATATCACGATATCAACATGGAGTTTGGTGCTGTACTTTTTGTTCAATGTTCTACAAATTAATTGTTAAATGTAAGATATATTCCTCGGCATTCGGGCGATTATTGTCCGTTCAGCCTACTTGTGCTATATGATAGGTAGAATGACACTTGACTGAGAGCGGGAGGTCGATTTGGTAAACACTTCTTCTTTACTAGTTATCTGATATATGAAGATCTCTATCCGCACTCCTCTGGTTATATCTATATAGATAAATCATAATTCCTTTGGTGGCAGAGAGCGTTGTTCGTCCGGTACCTATAGGAGAATAGCTGACACCTGACTGAGAGCGGAAGACCGGTTTAGTATTTCTTCTCTGTTGAATCTAATCTTCTTTATTGTTACACCACTAGTTATCCTATATATGAGGTTCTTCTTTATTCATACTCGTTGTACATCACAATCTCTCGGCGCGGAAGGGCGTTGTCCGTTCACAGTCCACTAGGTGGTATTGGAGAGTGACTTACGCGTTGGTCGCATGCGCGGGGGCGGGGGCGGTGTGGGGGGCGCGGGCGGGGGCGGGGGCGCGGCGACGCGTGCTACCTACGACCGATGAGACCGTTCGAGTTGCCACTCGTCGTCGGACACATCTCCAACTCGACTAGCAGCGGGAAGTGATCTGTATTGGAAAACAGAATAGTGGTGTAGACAACTGTTTTTTACATTTTTAGTTAAAAGAAAATATATCTCAAAAAAAAAATTTATGTTCATAAAATAACTGAAAATCTGAAATAGACACTTCTGTCATGGCGTCGCTATGACGTCACGGCCCTCTGATGCATAAGATTGAATTCTCTATGTTCTGATATGAGTAAAGCGTGATGTCACGCGTTGTTTGCGGTCACGTGTTCACGAGTATAAAATAACATATAATTTAAGTAATATTATAAATATAATAAGCATAAAAGTATGATCATCGGTAATAGTATATTAAAAGCAGACTACACCGCAGACTACAGACTTTCTATCGGCCAATAGTTTAATCGGCTTCTAATTCAGTATGAAGAGATATGTAGAGTAACTACAGCAAGGACATTTTTGTACAGTGGCGTTGACTTCGCAGGGCCTATTAATATAAGGACTTCCAAAGGACGTGGCCACAAATGTTATAAAGGTTATATCTGCCTCTTCGTGTGTATGGTTACCAAGGCTGTGCTATGGATTCAAGGTTCCATAAGTGATTTAACATCAAAAGCATCCATAGCTGGGTTCCGAAGATTTGTTGCACGAAGAGGACGAAGAGAAATTTCGTTGGCGCATCCAAAGAATCATCTATTGCTATCGAAATTAAACGTGTCTTAGTAATAATGGTGTGAAATGGCATTTTATACCACCACAAGCTCCCAATTTTGGCGGACTCTGGGAAGCAGGAATCAAGTCTACCAAGTTTCATTTGAAACGCATTATTGGCTTCTCATGCATGTCTGAATTCCAGACCTCTGTCTCAACTAAAATCGAACCCAGAAGAACCAACGCCTATCACCCCTGGCCATTTTCTAATCGGTGAACCTCTGGTTCTGGTGCCAGATCGTAGGTATCAGAATAGCAATGTAGGTAATTTAAAAAGATGGCAAATTTTACAGCGTATGGCTCAATTTTTTTGGAAACGTTGTTCTAATGAGTATCTTACTTGTATGATGCAACGATACAAATGGACACTTCAGGAACCGGAACTTATTATAAGAGACATAAACAATCGCATTACCTGAAGGTATGTGCGGGTGGGGACATCCCACCACCTTGTGTTCCCGGAACCAATCTTGCGACAGCGGTCCCAGGAGACCGAGAGGCGTCATTGACTGTTTACTGTAGAATATATAGTCGATGATTCCTTTAAAATCGAACCTGCAATGGAAATTATATACAACGAATAAATAAATACGGTCCAAATCTGCTTTTGTTTGTGTTAAACCTACATCGTTTTCAATGTGAACATCCTGACAGTGTGTGTGTGTGTGTCTATCATATATTTAAATTTTATATTTTAAATAGTGTGACATCTGTCGGATGTCTTCCTAACTTGTAATCACTATGTTACTCTGCCAAAATTTTAATGCGCACGCGACACTATTTGAACAGTCTGAATGATAAACATAGTATGTCTGACGAGTTATATTTTATATTTAAGGTTATTGAAATGAGGATTATGATTTTTCTACGATTCAGGCAGATTTTTTTTTTTTGCCATATAAAAGAAAAAGGGTATTTCTTTATTATTTCAAGCTACTAATACACTTCGATTGTTGGCTTAAATGCGTGAAAGAAAATCAAGTCAAACTTTATCAAAGTTACAGTTTTGACTTTTATATTAATTCTTTAACTTTTTCGATCCTTAGATCCTGGTCGACATCTTTTGTTCGATACGATACGAAAAGAAATCATGAGCTGCGCCAACGAAAACATGCTACGCTCTATATTAGTTGTGTTTTACTGTAATACCGGCGCTTCACTTGGCTATTTGTGATTGCAACTACCATGTATAGTGAGTGTATCATCATAAAATTAGTTATTATTTGCCAATTTAACAAAAAAAGTCTATAAAAAACATGCGTAAAAAAAAAAGTCGCAAATACTGCGATTACACATATTGACCGTTCGTTATTTGGCTCCATGTGAATGACATATATGATGATTATGTTAATTAATATTATTATAAATTAACATGATAATTAAATAATTAAGTGCCGGTATAACGTAATACCTTTTTTTGATAACGCAGGGGAAATGCACATTCAACCCCGATGCTAAAGCGACGCCCACCTACCTGGTAAAACCAGCTTTGGAGAATCCAACCCTACATTACGTAATATAATCCCCGCAAATTGCTAATGCGCTTGGCCGCCATTTTGGTGAAGTGATTGTGTTCAACAATCAGTACCGTTAACAAATTAACACTGATTGACGATTACATTTATTGAGTTGAGTTGTGTTGAGATCTCACACAATTTTTCTTATGTTTTTGTTATTTTCCATTGTTATTGCTAAGTTTTGTTGTTACTTGTTATGGTTGACTAAAAAAGCAACTGCTATTATGATTTTCACAATAAGTAATCCTAATTTCGTTAAAAATAAATGTATATAAAAATATTATATAATAAATCATGTTTGGCGATGTTTTAAAGAATTGTTATCGTCTGCTCTGGTTATCGCGTTATCACAAATTAAATGTAAATTTTAACATATATTTTTTTTTCATGTACCTTAATATTAACATATAAATTTGCCTTTTTCGACAATTCTTGCAATAAATTAACAAACTAAAAGTTAATAAAAAATAATCAGAGGATTATTTATAATTATTTCAGTAATTAATAAATAATTTCTCTTGCATTTTGTGCTATCGATACTTTCTACTTTCAAATGACGTCACACGATCGTTATTTAGACAGGGTATTAGTCCAGAGCATTAGCTATATGCGGGAATTGTACCTAACAAAACATGTGACTCACGTGTAATTAGTGTAGGGCATGATGTCTTCGCTGTAAGCGGAGGCCAGTTTGAAATTGTGCGTGAACTCGTGTTCGGAGCCGGGCATGCGCCGTAACGAGGTCGCGTAACCCAACTCCTTGAAATCCCGGTGGTCGGCAGACACACGACCCGACGATAGGAACTCAACAACACCTGGAACATTCGAACGTATATATACGTTAAAGATAATCTGTAAACTATGTTCCTTGAAGTCTGTTTATCTCTTAAATAATTAAATAAATCCCAGATATCCTCTCAAAAGTATGTGTAGAATATATTCATCTATTTATTTTATAATACTTTAGATTATGCTTTCATATAAAAATTAATTTAATTTAATCTTTCGAATGTCAATACGTTTACGCGCAACTACTACGAACGTGAACGCGGCATTATTAATCATAGACATATAAATGTCACGACAGTACAATAAAACTTGTAAAACCATTTTTATTTAAAGTATATATCTGTCTAATAGCTATCTAGTCCTGCGAGGTTGTTGGTATTTTACAAAAAACCCTGAATATTAACTAGATAATCGGGTATCTATCTATAAACTTATAGGTATATTTATAAAGAGATTTGTAGTGTTTTAATTAATGAGCAAAGTGTAAAAAACATTGAGCATAGTAGGATTGGTGTAGATTATATAGTGTTATTCATTCCAATTATACATCATTGCTGCATATTTGGGTTTTTACATCCAGGGAATGTAAGAGTTAGAAATGAATGAGAAGGAATTAATTATTTTGAAAAGGCAAAATGTTAAAGAATATTTGTTATATTATTATTTCATGTGCTTGTGCTGCCATCTACACGCACTTTGCGTAATATTCCCTATTGATTGTTTTTCTTACCCTCATCGACATCACACCATCAACAATCTATTAATGTTTCCACTACTCCCTTAGGACTTACTCATGGATGGAAACAAATCAAACCGAATAAGGAAAATGGGCCATGGCCCACCACGCGGGCCCAGAGCGGATTGGTGGGTATTAACGACTACAGATGCAGACGGCACCAAAGAATTAACGTGCCTTCCGAAGAAGATGATAAATTTTTGTTCACCTATCCCATGATCGGTTATTGCGAAAATGGCTTTACAATCGTATCGCAAACCGAACGCGCTAACCATCGAGCGCCTCAATTGTTAATAATAAATTTGTAATCAATCACAATAGCATCGCATTTACAATGCTAACAAATATTTTCAAAAAGAATCAGTGCTACAGGTGACTAACAATTCACAGCTCATTTAAACCGTGACATTTACATAAAGTAGTTTTACTGTGTTTAAATTTCAAATTTCAAAATTGTTCAAAAGCTTGCGGTTTGACATTGATCATGAATTTTATGATAACAATTAAGAACTTTTAATGTAATAGAGGAATTCTTTATTCATTTATTTACTCATGCGGACTTTTCCCCTTAGCACTTTGCCGCTAAATTCCTATGCTGTGGTTTTATGCGTGATTTATAACTTTCCTTAACAACTAAGATTTTTTTTCTCGTTTTATTAACATCAACTGTCAAAACTTTATTCGTATTTTATCATTTTTATTGCACTATGGTAACCTCCAATGTGTTATTTTTTTATTATAAAAAATCTTCACTATAACTAAGCATAAAACATACTGAAATTTAAATTTTAATCACCGTCATCTATGCCATATTATAAACATACTTATTATTCAAATAATCAAAATTACTACTAATTCTACCATTATCGTATATAATACACCATACTTAATATTTCAAAAGATTTAATCGACTCGGAACGTTTACATTTTTAATTATTTTTGTGCAAGATAAATATGAATTAAACCTCTTCAATGCAAATGTATCAAATGTAAATATACTAGCTTATATTATTGAAAGTACACACAGCATCATATTACCACTAATAACTTTCTCAAGTTACGCGGTAGTACCACTACCACCGCGTAACTTTCTTTACTAGACTAGCTTTCAAACGTCAAAAGGAAGTTCGAGTCAAGAAAAAAGTGAAGTCAATTTAACCAATCAGGATTAGTCTAGGATTGGAAAGACTGATCCTGATCGATCAGTGAACGTTTAAAAGCCGAAACTTGAATCAATACAATAGGCCACCAAACTACAACCAACTTTGAAATTAATTGTAACAAATTAAGTCTAACGATTAGCGAGCATTTTGTAATAACTTGCCTTTGAAGCACGACGAGTTCGAAAGATTCAGAAACGGGCAAGAGCGAGATCGTTATTGCTTATCGCATATCTCACTCTCGACTGGTTTTTCAAGCTTCGAGTGTTTCTAGAGAATTTCGAACGTTTTTCGAGTATCCCGAGCGTTTCTCGAGTCTCCCGAGTTCGTTATGTAACATATAGTCTGAAATAGTGAAAAATCACATACCGCTGTCAGGTAGTGAGTTGAAATCTCCGCATAGTAGCAACTGTACGTTGTCACGGTGACCGGCAAGCCGTAAAGTCCTAGCCGAGTCGTCCAATATAGACCGCAACTCGTTACTCAACATCATAGTCTGAATCAGTTTTACATCACAGAATTCCGGGTCCCAGTGTATATGTGCTGTACATACTAATATCGGTTGGGCCAGCACCGACGAGTCAGTTGGTATACCTAAAACATAAGACTATCGTTATAGATTTATAGAAACGGCCGGTATGTTCAAGCGTGGTCGATTGCTTTACGGTTCTCTACAGTGACTAATTATCTGGGCAACACTACGGGGTAACGATACAGCAATTTTAATTATATTAGCTATTGTTCAAATCATATGGCACTATCCATTTATTGCGTAAGAAGATCTGACAGTTTGTGACCCTTTCTCTACTTCTATATAACAATCTAAAAAGTTAAAACACTTATAGGAACGTTCGTTTTTTATGGTCCCCTATTGATAATATTATCTTTTAAACTATCAAAATTCTTGTTAAAAGAAATAAGACAGGGTTTTCCCCCACCCCTCCCTAAAAAGTTTTACGCAATAAACAGATGGCGCTTACTCACAAGTATAATTAAAGGCATTACTTACTAGAACCATCCTTACCGTTCTCCCAGGCCGCCTCCTTAGTTTTGAGCAAGGCGGCTAGACCAATATTATCTTTCGGCATTACACGATTTAACATGTTGTCTGAACCTTCACTGTTGGCCATAGCCAATTGATTGAACTCTATAAGGTGCTCTTTTACTAATGCGAACCTGTAAGGAGAAAACAATACTGAATGTTTCAAAAAAGTTCTCATCAACAGTGCTATTCGACGTCGAACACAGTTTTGTCACAGCAAAGAGGTTCAATCAAATAAAACGTAATAAAGGTGACAGCGCTATGATCAACGTCAAACTTTAATTGCAGAATATCGAAATTGTGCATTGGTTGATAGATTAAAACTTACTTGGCAGATCGAAAAAAGATGGCGCAACCGTCGACATATTTCCTCTCTGATTCGGACATGGTCTTAGCCCTAGACTTTGGCGAGAAAATACCATCATAGCCATCTTGTTTCAATTCTGGTAAAAAGAAATTGTAAAACTGATCCGTTTCTACTTCCTGAGTAAAAAAAAAACGTATATTAGATTTCATCATTATTTTTCTTAACTAAACATAATATTTGTCATTTATTTTAGTAACACAATAAACGTTACATTATATTAATAATTTTTAAATTTGTCAAAATGGCAACATAATTAAATATTACTTAACTATGTTATTAGTAATACCTTGTTTTTGGAAAATGAATAGTTTCAAGGTCAATATATAAAATAAACTTCTCTATATTAACTCGAGAGACTCGAGAAACAGGACCTAGAGTGAGATATTGCATGAGCATATATCACTCTCGACCCGTTTCTCGAGCCTTTCGTGCATTAATTTGAGTATTTGGAGTTCTTCATGCTGAACTAGTCTAGGTGTTATGACATCTTTGTAGTTTTAAGATTACCATATGTCCTTAAGCTACTTATTTTGGAATCTGAGCAATGTATGTGATGTTGAATATTTTTTTATTTAGGTTTAATGGCGACTTTATGCCGTAATGACTGTTTAAACTAATGACAATTTTAATGGACATTTAGTTGGCGTGGATTACACAATGGCTCACAAAGAATACTAAAACAGAAATCAATATGATTATGCTTGCCTGTAAACTAATGATGTCAGCAGAGTAGTGTCTAATTTCGTCCAAAATACCCTTCTTTCTATAATCCCATTCTAATGCCCAACTGGGGCAATATCCGTACATCTGTCTCGTCGCGTACTTATCGCAAAGTACGTTGTAGCACATCACTGTGAATATACCTAAAATAGAAATTCTCTAATGAACACATCATTGAAATAAAAGAGTTTCTAACTGACGATTGTTTCCATTTATCTCCGGTCCCATGTCAAGCAGAGCAGTAAAGGCACATTCACACGATACAAACGTGCATGTGGTATATTTATCATTATGTCATACAATAATTTATGATTATTGAATGGTGTAATTGGCTTGCTCTATAGAGGAAAATTAAAATGAAATCTCTCTGATACACACAAAAAAAAACCAGCACAAAACGCCAATTGATTTACAAGATTACCCATCTGAATTTTCAGATACAAATATGTTTTTTTTTTTACATGGACAATTCAAAACATTGAAGGTTTAATAAATTTCAAAATCAAATTGACGACTTCAATCTTTTTTAATATAAAATGTGACATTCTACAATATCTAATAATCAAGATATGGTATTTTGCCAAAAAATTCCGACATTGCATCAACGTTTAGAGGCGTAAATACCTTATTCTTGATTGTTTGAAATTTTAAGCTAATTCTTTGGGGCCGTCCATAAATTACGTCAAACAAAATTCAGAATTTTAACCCACCCTTCTGTCACCTGTTTATCTATACAAATTCTACTAAATATTGTTCTAACGTAACAGTTCATCGAACCCCCCCCCCCCACCCTCCTAAAGAGTGTGACGTAATTTATGGATGACCCCTTTACGTTAAAATGTTTGTACGGTCAGCCACTATGGAACACAATCAAAGCATTAAAGTTATAGAATGATAAACATTATGTAAACAATTGCTTTCAATTTCTGAATTATAGCGCGTCAATAATTGCTTTCAATTATTAATATTTTTGTTTAAAAAAAATCTTGCACCGTGTAAATGGCGCTTTAAGATGGCAATTAGTTGACGCGAACGCTTTGTTACAATCGGCCGGGACACGTTGCGTGTTAGTAGATAAAAAAATGTTCCAATTAAATATGAGACTCGTATTACGCTCCACATACGTCAGGCACGCGACAATAGCTTTAGATTTTTTTTTCAATCGTATCAGCTCGACATCCGCATAGATATATCTCTCGATATCTTACTCTCGTCATTTTCACAGCGGGCACAATGACATTTACTTTTCACCTCTACGCCTTCAGTTTTGCGGTATAGAAAATGGGCTAAATAGTAATAGACAAGATTGAAACCCCCAAGCGAGTCGTGTGAAGCGCATTAGGAGTATTGTCAATCACAGAATGAGCGAAGACTATACGAGTAAATAGGTAAACCTAAATAAAATCATACACAGCAACTAGAAACAATTGAAATAATGATAGGTGGACGTATTCTCTTTTAACCTATTGCCGTAGAAGATTGGGTGGGTTTTCGGAGAGTCAAAGACTTGAAACGCGACGAAGGCACTTCTACGTATGCACCTATTACGTAAACTAACGTGTCACGACTGTGCTCTCTCACGCTCCATAACACTATTTCGAATTTATGAGAACGCGCTCAAATCTCATTACACTGATCAAAAGGTACCCAGCTGAGGACGAGAGCACCGCATCTAAATGTCAACGTAGCAGTAGACCTTGACGGTGCAATTATCTAGAGTAAATAAATCGGCCTGGATATCAACCCATCAACAGACAAAGAGGCATAGTTTGCAAGACAAAGTATAGCTGACGAGCGAATGACATTTGGAAGGACAAGACAATGCCGCGAGGTCGGGCGGGGAGCCGCAATCCGGACAAATTGATAACGATCGCGAATGCGTCCGCGCGCGGGTTAATCTATCTTCTCGATTCAAAGTCACCTGGCGACGATAGTAGGTGAGCGTCGATCAATACGGCCGCAGCACGTGCTTCAAATACATCCATTGTATGCCCGATGCGACGACGCACGCACAGACGCGGCGTACATGCTAAAACGTTGCGAAACAATACACGCGCCGATAATCGTTGTATACACATATAAAAGCAAGTACGATCGTAGTCAAATGAAAGTACATCAAGTACGAAATATAAATAAATGGGCGGTCGTATTCATGACTGTCTCAATTTCATATATTTGATGCGTTGATGTTTATCGTACCATGTGGTTTAAGTGCAGCTGGAAAACAATGAGTCAAGCTGACAGTAACATAAACCGCATTTTTAGATCGCTATTGTTCACAAATTTTATGGAGTTTCGTGTACTCATATGTGGGTGCTTAAGCTACTAGCTTGATATGATATATAAACAAAGGCTTGTGAAGTGTGACGGTACAAAGGGACAGGAAGAGGCGTGTCGACGGATATGGGCTAGCGAATCATATCGCCATACACTCAGTCTGAGGGGACCCTGCAAACAACCTCTGAAATTGTGATCTGATATTACCACAATGAACTAGTTTTTAACCGGCGCACACGTCTCCAATCTATTTATTCCCATGATGACATGATGACACGTGGAGTAGAACGAATCCTGACGGCAGCAATTCAAATTGGTTTAATCCAAATTCAGTTTCATTTAAACAACAAACATACGATCGATTGCACAAACGTCCATTAAAGTTTAATGACAGTTTTAAACTCTAATGAATGTCATATTTGTATGGGTAATGACGCTTTAAACTAATGAAATTTTTAACCGACGTTTGTGCAACTGGCTGTTTGTTTTTTTAACCACAATACTACCCAGGACCTAACAGGACTGACGAATTTTTCAAGTACTTCTTACTTTTCCCTACTACAGAATGTATTTTTATCGATGTTTAGGCAATCCACCCAAACCGCCGAAAGAAATATTGTTACAAATATTTTAAACTTTTTTACCTAATTTATTATTTATTTTAAACGTTTTTCATTAAGAATATGCAAAATTGATCAAATAAACTTGTTTTTTTTTTATTAGATGTTCACAGTTTACTTATTAAAAGAAAAATTAGTTCACACGGGAATTATAACAGACTTCATATTAATCTGCATTAGAAAATTCATAAATGCAGTCATTACGTATCGGTCACGAAGGAGCTATATGCAGTATATCTGTTTCAAGAGAACGTAAACATCTGTTACCTACATTCTGCAGTCCTATTCTGTTAAAAGTAAAAAACTGACTTTAAAAGGTACTCGTAATAAAGTAACATTGAATGAACGTCTATTACTATGACAACACTGTTCGACGCTGGATTTTTGTAACAGAAAAGTTTAAAAGTCATTACACTAAACAAAGTGCAATAGTTAAATGTCAAATGCCATTAGATATATTTTATATACCTACAGTTATTTTCTTCACCAACTTTACGATCACTATTAACAAACAAACGGTATGTTATGAAACAATAGAGCCGGTAAACAAAGTGACCCATTGTGGTTGTATTGAAGTTAATTAAACCGAAACAAATGACAACATCGAAAACCGCATCCGTTATAGTTAGATACGAGATTATATTACTGGTGCTATTATGACGTACCCAATCAAACAAAGACATTCACGTGTGGTTGTGCAAATCATTCTGTTGTTTATAATTTGTTTTTACACCAACAGATCGTTTTGCTATATAACGTGTAATGTAGTCCAATAAAGCTAGTTATCTATAGATTTATTTCGTAAACAAGGAAATATAAAAAGGGCAAAGAGAAACGACAGTAATAAATCTTTGCGATGCGCATTGGTCAGAATAGCTCACTCCAGTGCAAGGCGTTTGGCTGACACCTGTACATATCTAACCCCTTCTCTCTCCCCTCGTAAATGCTACCAACATAAACCGAATCCGTAATAGTCAGATATTAGATAATACTAGGTCAACTTTGGATGGGAACATTTTGCATATAGTAATCTGCCATACGGTATAATTTTTTCGCACATCTTCAATATTCATCCCTCTATTAAAACCTTAACGATACTATATACACCTAAACATCCTTATTATATTATTTATGAAAACCGCATGAAAATTATATATGAACATTCGAACATTAGTCGTTTGATGTTCATATAAATCAAAACTAAAACACACAGAAAATTCTCAACAGTGCAAGAACAAAAATAAATCTGCTGGTTACATTAAAGAAGCATTCAACACAGAACATCTCACTCGAGCGCAAGAGCGTTTGGCACGAGGATATAAAAAAAATAATAATAATAAAGCGGCTGCTATCGTGTCACATCTGAATATAATGGGGGGAGGAGCGGGCATGTTTATAGGTATACGCCATTACGTGGGCACCGGCAACAGAGCGGTTACAGCACCGACGGACAAATCACCCATGTTGGTATCACGTATTACAATACATCAAACTAGAGATGACAGGCGTAGCTTCGTAATTTCGTAATTTGCTACATTGTTAGCTCCGAAGTATGTCGTAATCATTTCATTGAACAGAAAAAATATAACAAATTATGTACCCACTTATACCTTAAATCAGCTGTGAATTAGACAAACCTTTTTTAAAATATTTAAAAGCAAACCCAACAGGCGGCAGTTTATCGATATCTATTTTTATACAATATTTTTATTGGTGTTTTTTTTTTCTTGATGCATGCACTAATCAAAATTTCTCGAGATTACCAATATAAATATTATGATCCCATTTTGACACCGTTTTATTGACCCCCATTATCACATCCAGATGACATGTAAACACGTGAGATACACGTAAATGATAACTTTACTGTAAACTAACTAGTGTTAATTACGGTAAGAGCGTTTCACAAGCACTTAAACCTTGTTACACACAAAATAATTTGCGTCCGCGACCCGTTTTCCATCGCACCTTGACATTTTTGCTCACTGTGGTGTGTGAATCAGACGTAATAAATATGTAGGTTTATTAAGTTAGCTTCATATAAAAAAATAAACATATAACGACTGATCTCGTTTGGCAGTTCGTATTGGCGACAAAGATAATGAACAAAAAAATCTTTATAAATGTAGAAGAAAAGGATACGTTGCACACTATGGGTATTTATGCTTGCTCGATAGTAATCTATATATATAAAAATGAATCGCAAAATGTGTTGGTAAGCGCATAACTCAACAACGCCTCGACCAATTTGGCCAAATCTTTTTTTAAAATGTTCGTTGAAGTTCAAGGATGGTTTTTACGGCGAGAAAAATTAGAATTATTGCTGGAAAAACCCTAAAAATAGCCCTTTTCTTTTTCCCATACAAATGATTTGTAACTAAAACGTAGTCAATTTGAGCTTTATTGCTATGGTATAAAGTTCATATTAAATTACAAGCACTCACTGTTGTCTAAGCAATGTAGGTGTGTTCCTAACGTCAAAGATCATATCTATCAAAACAATGTGCGTGTGTGCGTTGGAGCACAGAATACATAGTTGGAGGAGTTTAATGTCGCGTTCCGAAACTCGCGTTTCTTTTGTATTAGTTTCGGCACGCGAGATAAAATGCATCAGTTTCCACGTCATTACATCAGTCAAACAAAAATCGCGTTACCAACAGTGTTTTATTATTTTTAATATCCAAATTTTAAATCAATAAAACAATTCGTACGGCTTAAAAGGATTTGACTTCAAGTCATATCAAATTTATCTAAAACCCATGTTTCTCACATGGTCAATTGTATGTTGCCTGTTCCCGTGTTGGAAAACCATCAGATTTGTTTATCTATGCGCCAGGTAATCAAACAAAAACATCGTATACCACAAAGCACTACAATGATAATAATAATAATTATGATTCACATGATTAACAATAAAGCGATTACTTACTTTTAAATCCTTATATATGTTTTATTTAATTATTTTTTATTCACAACGCCCTATCACCAGGGTGACGGTTCTGTTCAGGAGAATTTTTTTAAATACGTAGGCAAAAAAACTGCCACATTACAAATCTTTTTGACAGGACGAAGTCTGTTGGGTCAGCTAGTGTAAAATAAAATCAAAAATTAGTTTGCTGGCTGCTGATACACCACTTAACGTATGAGGTGATGACAATGACAGAATATTGCGATTCCGTGAAAGTAATGGGTCTGGCAATAACCCAAATATCGTCGAAATTTTAAGCAATATTTCATAATTATGCTGAAAGCCCAACTTCAAACTAGATTGTTTTACATACACGATAAAATTTTTATGGATTCAGCTTGATGATTTATTACCGGCTAAAATCGTCGCTCATTGTCATAAAAAAAGTTTTAAAGATTTTAGAGAATGAGAATGCCTCTTTTATTCAACAAAAAAAAATATCGATATTCACGATTTAAAGTTCATGAAAGCAAGGAGGTCGCTGCAGTCATTGTGTATTGTTCAACCACAAATGGCGAGACGAAGGGCATTTCCTGACTTCCTGTAACCCCTGGCCGTGAGTGTGGATCGACAGAAACGCTTCGACAACCAAACAAGTGCTTCCTTATTAGTAAGACAAGACAGTAGAGTCAGTAGACTCGTCGAGGATTTGTAAATCACGTGAACTCGACGGTCGAATGAGGGTAACGAAGTTGTACAAGTGTTCGGTAACGTGTTACTGAGCGACCGACCTAACACAAATGTAAAGGTGGAGTATCCCAGCGGATAAAGCATTGAAGTTGGAGAAATTATTATTATGCGTTGCATTGCGATAGATGCGAGGAAGGTTCTTCCAAGCGTTTTGCACGGCCGACCGAGTTTGATTTATTTAAATTGGGCGCGTCGTGCGCTGGGCAAAGGAATGAATTCTAACCGGGTACTGGTAACCGAACGTCGAAACAAATTATAAACGGCCGAACAACAATAAATTAATTTATGAAGTCACGCTTTTAATAAAGTAATTAATTTAGACTATACAATAGCAGAAGGTAAGCAATAACATGGCAATGTTTTTTCTTGTGCAAAGCGGACGAAATTCGCACGACAATATATCCTTTCTACGATAGTAATAAAAATATGC